CTTTAATATAGTTTTCTAAATTTGACTATTAGAATCTCTATATTTTGCTAAAGTCGATTTATCGGCTTTTAAATAATAGCTTAATTCTGTCATTGACTTAAATTCTCCAATAATATTATTATCAAGATTTTTCAAGAATACAGGTTTAGCATTATTTGGTTTAGTTCTTCTTAGAGCTGCCCGAGACATTAATTCTTTAACTTCTTCAGTATGAGTCTTACCGTAAAAACTATTGTCTTCTATAGTGAATTTACCCTTTTTGGCTAAACTCATTTTATTAATAGCTTCTAGAGTATGTTTATAACCATCCGAAGAATAAGCATATTTTAGGATATTGTAAGTAGGATTTAATAAGTCAAGATAATATTGTTCCCTTGTGATTACTTCATCTCTGTTACAATATTCAAGAATAGAAAGACTGAAATTACTATAGCCGTATTTGACTAATGCATAACAGATAATACTCTTACCTCGTGATGGATGTGTGATATAAGACTCTCTGTAATACTCGGACATTCTCTTACTTAGAATCAACAGCGCTACCAATATCAGAATCACCTGAGATTTTATTCTCCCATTTATAAATTCCGCTTCTATCTTTATTCTCAAGAAGGATTAGATGTTTTAATTTCTCTGCATCTTCGTAGAATTTAACTGGTAGTGTGTCTGGTTTTGAGACAGTACTCATAAATTGTTTATTTAATTTCATCATGTTATTTATTTATTTTATTCTTAATGGTAGTCCATAGAAGGATTTATTAGTGCTGTAATTCCCTAGGATTCTTTTTTATAATCCATAGAAGAGTGTAGGAGGGTGGGCCTAATCCTATTAAATAAGATCAGACCCTAGATTTTTATCTTCTAGAGATACGCGGACTATGCTGCGTATAATAGTAAGAATGCCATCATAAGTGCGAATAAACCAATTGCTTCTGTTAATGCGACAATACATGTTACCATAGAGACTCTTTATTCTCTATTTCAATCTGTTACCAGATTGTTCAGACTATGTCATCAACATCAATAACTCAATATTGAAGTTGTCGGGCATCTGGTGTCCAGATTATTGCTAGTGTTGCTCACTGATTAGTCGTTGAACGTTCGTATACCTATAAAACACTGATATACGCTTCGCTGCAAATTGTCCAATATCATTTATATTGGAGGTCCTTGCAATTCACCCGATGTTTCCACAGGATCTCACGATCAAGGGGGGCACACATTTACCCAAGAATTGTGTAAGAGAATAATTGAGGTCGTAGAGATGGGTTTCGAGAAGTAGAGTTAATTAAAGCGGCGAATACTAATCCAACACCAACTCCAGCTCCTGCTAGTCCAATAGTTGCTAATCCTGCTCCTAAAATTTTAGCTGCTGCTACCATTTTTTTTAATTTATCTAGCCGAAGGCTAGTTAAGATAAAACATTTTAAAAATATGGGTTAAACCCATTGAGAAATTACCAAACGGCACTCAGACTTGTTATTAGTCTCCGCGCGGAGCGCGGTGGCACGGTGGGCCGCGTAGCGGCCCCCCCGAGTCTTGAGATTTTTAAGAGTACTTAAAGTATTATCAAAAAAATTATATTGCCTATTATCATTACTTATATTAAATATATTTATATTAACCCCAATCGGAATCGAACCGATATTCCCACAGTGAAGTTGTGGTGTCTGTCTAAAGGTTTAAATCTAATTTATTATGTAAATATGTCTAAGGGTTTAGGTTCTTATTTATAAAGAAAGAAGGACTCGAACCTTCACCAAAAAATTAGGAATTCTTGGTCCTACCCTTAGACGATTTCTTTTTAAGATGCACTTATTGTTCTATCTTAAATATAGTTTAGTACCTCTAAAATGTAGATTGTTCTGATTTAATA